TTAATAATTAATTGAAGGGGACTTATGAATTTTTCAGCATTTTCTCTCACTGTGCATTACAAAGTGAAACCTCCCTTTCCTAGACAAACATCTCTCCTAAAGCCTTACATCAAAGCTGCAAAATTTGTGTTCTTATTGTGTTCTTGTTCAACCTTCACATCCAGCATGTTTGCTTTGAAATACTTAATCTACCATTTGCTGAGCTACATAGCTGCTGGCATGCTGAAGGATGAGGGGCCTGGGTCTTCTTCTTGGTGGCTTTTGGCACCAGTAACCATACATGACACAGTGATCTGGCTGCATTTTGGGTGGGTGAGTGGCCAGACCAGTGTTCAAAGGGTTTCCAGGAGCTTGACATGTGTTGTCATGGGAGAAGCATTTTGTTAAATCAATGTTGGAAAATCAGTGCAACCACTGAGCTGGTTTTAGTTCATTATTTTATGAGGACATCAGCTGTAGGGTCGGCTACTCAGTGTTGGTGACATTCCCTTGTCTTGGCTGGCTGGGGCTCAACAGAGCACAGGTCAGGCACCTAGAAATCAAAGTGGCTTTGTTCCTCATGCAGCATGAAGCATATCGCCATGCCTCTGCATTGCCAGCACGTTTAGAATGTGGTTTTCCAGCACTGCATTATGCTCTGCAGCAGCGCATGGTGCAGGCTGCGCTCATAGCCACAGTGAAACCTTCCTCAGAGGGAGGGGAATACCCTTCAGCAAGCCCCACTTATTGCGACTTGGTGACGTGCTGGGAAGGGATGTTAGCATTAACAGTGACTGGCAGGGAGGGATTACGCTGCTAAATGGTCCCAATGGTTCCTGGCTCCTCTCGTGTGGCTGGTGACAATTATGTTGGCAATACCTGTCACTGTGCGCTGCGTGCTGTCAGTGCCAGGCTGATGGCTGCACGTCGTGTCTGCGCGTCGCTTCCTATCCTTACACATCCTTGTCGCATACTACAAAGTTATTTCCAGCGGTGCCGTTCGCAGTCACGGCTTAAAAAGCAGGAGCTTCACGGTGCTGAGAGCACGATACCTTGGTCTGCTCCACTAATGTTTATAAACATTCGGCATTGTGTTTGAATTGCTTGTGTCTGTGGGGAGAGAGCCCCACCGATGCTTGGTGCCACGGCTCTGGATGGCTTTGGGTCGTGCTGCTGGCAGACCGCGGTCCGCCAGGCTCAGCCTCTCCTCTGCAGCATCACAGCTGCGAGCCCAGCAAAATGGCTCCGGGAATAGGGATGGATGAAGGAGGGAGCAGGGCAGCCCGGCATCGCTTTTGGAGCCGGGGCTGCGTTTGTAATTGTTGGGCTTTAAGCAGCGATAAACTGAAGCCTTAAGCGGGGCTTTAAATCTATAGCGCTTTGCTCCAAAACCACTGGAATGTAAAGTCTCCATTAACACTGTTAATGCCCTTGAATGCTCCTGGCTTCTTCTGGGGTGAGTGGAGGTGAGACGGGGCTGTGCCTTTAAAAATCACGGGGCTCAGCCCGGGTAGTGCAGGGAGGTGTTTCCCAGAGGAAGCAAACAATTTCAGCATGGACTGGGAGGAGTTTGTGCATCTTACTGCAAATCTTAGGGCTCGGTTAGATTGGCTTGTTTCCTTTCTTCTCCACCTTTGAAAGGAGCAGCGAGACTACCTGCCATCCCTTGGGATACCACAAGGCAAAGCTCAGCAGCACATTTGTTTCAGAGTGGAGGAAGCCATGGGGTTCTCCTGCATGCAGGTGATTGGTTTTACCTGGGATTGAATGCTGCGTGCTCCAAGTCGTATCATAGAATCATAGGACCATTAAGATTGGAAAAGACCTCTGGGATCACCATATCCAACCCCACCCCATCCCCCCTTGCCCATTAAGTCATGAACTGGAGTGCCACATCTCCATCATGAAGGTCTTCAACCTCTTTTCTTTCATGTTATTAGCACTCATTAAAATTCATTCACAATTAGCAGTTTATAAAATGGTCTTTTGCAAGATCTTTTCCTTGCAGTTAACAGTCACCATGTGGTTAAAAGTAGGCATACACCCCACGATGCATTCAGTGACAGACGAGCTGTGATTCTGGAAGATTTTGGGCTCCACTCAAAATCTAATCTGCATAATTTTATTTTATTTTTATTGTTTTACTTTAACAACTGTTACACCGACGTTTATAATCTCTGCAGGGCAAGCAGAGAGAACTAATGTTGTATGCGGGCAGACATATGAAAACATCTAATTTACCAGCAGGCAGTTGGGTAATGATCAGTTGAGAATTGCAAATTATGTACGTCATCTATTTGTGGTGTGCTGCTGAAAAAAGCCCAGTGCATACGACAAATCATATATATCCTGATATTTATAATACTTTTCCCATTTAATTGACTGGGGCAACCTTCTGATTTATTTCCTTGCTTTATTCATAGCATACCCATAACATAGTCATAATGCAGAACGAAACTAATTCAATTTCTCCTTGACTCTGTAAATCATTTACGTATTTGCCTGTCAAGTATTTGAATATAAAGTGGGTATACATACGGCAGGAAATAAATAGCTCATTCTCTAGTTAAGAAGTTGGGTTGTAATGACGTTAGGGTCTGCATTGCCTTCCTTGGCTGTTCGATATTGCTTAGATAGCATGGATTACATTCGCCCCGTACCTTATTTCACGAGCAGAGTATGTTTTATGGGCACCAGCACGGCTCTTTTAATAGCCCTCTACAGTGTTATGGCTGTGTAAAACGTACATGGCATGCTTTGATGTCAGCAGGAACAGTGACTGAGCTCTGGGAGCACACAGGGACTGCAGCCTCACCCTGCACCTTGCACAAGTGGGAGACGTTCTGTTGGCTGTCATGGGCTGTCGCTGAGCTTCTTTGTCATCACTTCCCGACAGATGAGTTCTTGCTGTGGAGCTGTTTTGCAGAGTCATTGAAAATACAGCCTGGAAATACTCTTTGTTTCTTTGAAGTCTGGGTTACCAGCTTGGCAGCCCATAGCTCTGGGGAGGAGTGCAGCGCCCATCCAGCAGCTGCTGCAGGGTGCTGAGAGTGTTTGTTGCCTCCTAAGAGGAGCAATCTGCAGTCAGATCTCTCCATGACACAGTTTTTGACACCTGTAGCATCACTGCAAAACCTCTGCAAAATCAAGAAAGTACAGAAAGTGTGAGACAGTTTGCTGGCTCGTTACCATACCGCAAAACATCTCCAAAGCAGCATCCTTGCTTTCTAAATTTGGTGTCTGAGCTATTTTGGGTGATGTGTGATTAGCCTCAATTATTGCAGCTTGGATGGAATTCAAGTAATGCCCCCTTTTTTAGAGCTGCAAAGATAAGGAAGTCTGGAATTGTGCATTTCCTCCCTTTATTTGAGCAGCTGATCACATCACTGTTGTGCGAGCATCAGTAACATGATGTTTTTGTTTAGGGGAGAATCACTGAGGGATCTGTGGTTTATGGCTCCATACTAGTTTGGGGATCGGGAATATGGAGGTGAGAGTAGCAGGTTGTGAAAGGTGTGCTGGTGCAGCTGCAGTGAGTGAAACTGAGGTGGCTACACCAGAGATCATTGAAGCATCAGTGGAATTTGGATCAGGGTCCTAAACCATGTCGTTTTCCTGCTTTAATTAAAGCTGTAACGGAGGCTTTTAAAAACTGATCAAAAATGTATTTTCCCTCAATCTCAGCCGTAATGAATGTCATCTCTTTGGAAAATCTGCGCTGAAGCAATTTGCAGCTATCCTCCTGCATGCACACTGCTCCACGCAGGAGTGAGTATGTCTGCAAGAGAACACAGGCTACATGGGCAGATGCTGGTTTGGGGGAAAGCAAGATGTTTCTGCACACTTGGGAAGCTCTAACAGAATTGCTCGTAACTCATCAGCCTGAGAACTGAAACTTCTGTCATTGCCTGGCTGTAACTTTCCAGACTGCACTGCACCAGCCCTGCTCTGTTTTGTAAAGCAGTTTGTCTCCGGAGGAGGATAAAACACAGGGAGGTGGTGAGAGCAACCCCAAACCAGCATGTAAACCTCATTTATGTGTGGCTGTCATGGCAGAGCTAACGTACAGCAGCTGGTGGCAGTGCTGTTTGCTGGTGGCCAGAAGGATCAGTCCTCGAACCCTGGCTGGTTAGAGCACAGGTCAAGAGATCACTGTCTATAGGCAGTATTTCAAAAAGGGGCAAAGATGGGCTTGGGGCTTTCAGAAGGTGATTTGTGGGTGCTAACCTTGGATTCTTGAGTTGCCTGTTTCCTCCAGAATAGCCAGAAAAGGACACTTGGATGGGAGAGCCAGCCCTCCCCTGTGGGGTCACATTTACAAGAAGTGAACCAAAAATGGTGAGGTTTTGCACCAGGCTGAGCTTGGTTTTGCAGCTTATGGGTGGAGCAGCCCCACTGCCAGCCATCACAGCATGTTTCTTGCCTGGAGGGGTCTGGAGAGTGATTGGAGTGGAAAGGTGCTATAAAATTGCTGCGTCATTACGGCTTTTGATTTTCTTTGGTGCCTGAATTTGAATTTTGTGCTTTTTTGTTGTTTTGTGATCTATACTTTGCATTCCCACTAAAAATAACATACCTACCTCTGAGTCCTACCAATGGAAAACTGCTCGCTGCAGACACCTGTGTCTTGCTCATGCGCAAGTTGCTCATGTTGCTTCCTTAATTGGCAGGAACAACTTTTTATCTTCAGAAGATGTTTGAGGGCCAGACAAGTGCCAAACCCTGAACTACAGGGCTGTGGGAGAAGCTGTGTTGTGGAGAAGCTCTCTGCTGAAGGCTGCAGTCTTTTTCTGGGTGCCAAGCAGGAGCAGGAGAGTGCTTGGTTGGTGATGGGGCCTCGTGTGCAGAGGCTGTGCAAGCATCTAACACAGGGTTAGCACATTCCTCTGCTCTTGTCCCTCTTGGAACGCTGTGAACATGGCACGCATACTTTGAGTGATCAGCCTGAAAAACTGAACGGCTTCTGTAGGTTCTGCATTGGTTGACTCTTAACCTTAATATTTTTGTTTGGTTTTATGTAGCTGGACAACCCAGATGAGCAAGCAGCACAGATCAGACGTGAGTTGGATGGACGTCTTCAAATGGCAGAGCAAATCGCCAAGGTAAAGAAAAATTTTACAAATCTTCTGCACTGATAAATGTGTAAGTAGTTTGTTACTCTTCCCAGGTCTTGTCCTTCCCTCACAGATTTCTCCTCCCAATAATCACAGTAAAAAATGAGCAGTTCTTCAGCTATGAAGAAAGCAACTACTGCAGATGCTGTTACAATGTGATTTTCCTGGAATGTCCCTAATGAGCTGAGATGGTTTGAAAATATTCAGGTGCATTATGAGTTCTCAGAATTGGGAAAGAAAATGTCTTGAACTGCTGCAGCTAGATCTGCACGTGTACATCTGAACCCTCTTCAAATTTCTGTGCAGGCTGGTAATATATGTATTAACATATGCATGTAACAGGAAGCCAGCAATTGCCCTAAAGAGTTTGTGCAGTACACTGGGCTGCTGGGAGCCACAGTTCCCTGCCTGTAGGTACATTCTGCTGCAATGAGGGTCCTGCACATTTGCTGTCTCAAACATGTTTACACTTGGCATGAGGACAGGCAGGCCAGCATTGCACCCCTGTGGGGATCATTGCCATCCAGAGCAGCAGATGTGGAAGATCAAGACAGGTTTTGTAACAACACACCCAGCAAAGTGCCCCAGGGACCCTTCTGTAAGGAGACATCTCCCTAGGAACAAATCACACCTCTCAGTGCAGATTTATTTGGCCTCTAATTGACCACTTGTGGAGAGAAATTCTGGGCCCTGTTGGCATCAGCGTAGCCAAGGTTTTATCCTTCCTTCTGATCAGATGCTCTGAGCTATAGATAAAGCCCTAATGGGGCTGAAGACATTGGGAATGATCTATCTGGCCTCTGGATGATCTGGGAACTATTACCAGATGGAAAACAGAAAGAGAGACTTAGCTCAGGCTGGGGACCCACATCCTTCCCTGTGTGCACAAGGAGCTGTGTCCAGGTGCTGAGGTTTTTGTGAGAAAGGTAACACCAGAAACAAACTGACTGCAGCTGCTTTCCTTTGTTCAGCACTTGGCCTTCTGCCATTTTATTTTCAAGACAATCTCCACTATTTTTTCTTTGCAGTGAGATGTACACCCCCTGTGTGGTGCACTGATGCTCTGAGATGGGTAGCCAAGCACTGGGTACCAGATTGAGATTGTCTGATTTTGTTGCTTCGTTTTGTCTTGATGGCATGTGCATCGTTCAGCAGCAGCCAGCAGAGGCTGCAGCTTCTCGAGTTATTTTTGCAAACAACGATTTGCCTTTTCCACTCACCCCCAAGGATACTGCAAACAAACCGTGCTACTGCTGGACCTGCAAGAGACAGTCACACCAAGGTTCTAAACACAAGCTGACATTTCCCAGTGCAGAATTCAACCTTCAAACACAGCAGTGCAGCTTGGAGGGAGGTTAGCAGTAAACATGACTTACCTGTTTGGCAGTTATTGATATTTAATCTCGTTCACATGGCTGCTGGAGGCCTTCTCTCCAGAATGTCAGATCCCACCAGCACCTGTCTGCAGGAATCCTTGTTCTTTCAGACCCATGAATGCTGCCTTTTAGAGGCATCCAAATGACCTTTCTCTGTATCCTCCTTTCTGGGCAGGGCTGCTTTTCCTGTAGCACAGAGTAGGCTCACAATTCAATTCTGCGAGAGGACAGTGTTTCCAATTTTATCTCCAATTTGCAGCTTTTAACACAGTTTTGCTGCACAGGGAGACTTGCAGTGCTCATTGAACCAACACCGTGCTAAATGCAAGTTAACTCCTCATTAGGAGGACATTTATAGGTAAGAGGCAACAAAGGTGGTGGATTCTAAAAGGACCTCATATCATGGTGCTGCAGGACCGTGCTGGGTAACTTGGGACCACATCTCTGCATTTCCATCATCACACCCAATCCCAATGAAACTGCCACGCATCACTTCAAGCTACCTGCTTTTAGCCTCATTATAAGAAGCTGCTGGTGACACACAGTGAACTGTCTCAGGCTTCGCTGTGTTTGTGAAGAGGTTTTTGGGGACAGTGCCAAAGTTGAGTCCCTGGAGAGAGTGACAGCAGCAGGGTGAAAAAAGCAATCATGTTTGAACATCGTTGCTTCAGCAGTAGTTCTCAACATCTAAAGCAGTTGTGGTTTTTTTCTTTCTCTAGAGGTGGCTTGCAACTTTCGTAATGCCTATGCAGTAACACAGACTGATTAGGTAATTTATCTTACACCAGCTCTAATTTACTTGAGAGAATTCCTTCCCAAGATTGAGACTTGAAACAGAAGACTGTATGGAGTAAACACAGCCGTGAGCTGTGCTTGCAGTAGGTAGGCTGTTGAGTGCAGTAGAATATTTTTCCAGCAGCCTTATGACAGTCTTGTAGAATGAACGTGACCTTGTTTTCTTTTTTAGCATACATTTTACAAAGTACTTTTTATTACGTTATGAATTGCAACTGAGAAGATGCTTTGCATGTCAGCCTCAAGTTCTCTGACTGCAGATGCTGCTTTGCTGTTGTACACCTCATACAGTCTTGCTGTGAGATGTTCAAAGCCTGAGCACATTCAGGGAATGGGCAGACATATCTGAAGGTGTAGGGCATAGACCAGGAGTCCTAACAGATCTGGGGCATGGGCAGCAGTTCAAAGCAGAGAACATGTTCTGGAGAACATCACATTTTCCTCACAGTGTGACTTTGATTCTCATGGTCTTGTTAATAGGCAGCATGAGAGGATCTCCCAGTGAAGTCCCCAGGAACCACAGGCAGAGAACTGCTAGCATCAAGGCTGTCTCGGAAGGAAACACTGGCCCTAACAAGTACTGAAGAAGGTGGTCCCTCCTTACAGTTGGGTCCAAGCAGTCCTGCCCATGTATTGCTGGTTTTGCCTCCCTGGGCTCCTCTCACAGCTTGGGCTCAGAAGTGCTTTTTCAGCTGGCACATCTGAGAGATTGGGAAAAAAAAAGTCCTGAAATGTGTGCATGCTTTGACTCATTAGTAAATTGCTGTCGGTCGCAAAGTTCAGCAGGAAACTGACCTGGTGTTTCTGTAATTGGGAATTAATACATAAGAAGGAAGCCATTTGCAGACAGGAAACAAATGAAGTGCAAGTGCGTGCAAGAAACAGCAAAGTTGGATAAGGACCAAGTAGTAATTCTATGGGAAGCTAACGATAATGGTTCTGCATTACACAGGGGGAAGCTGTAATTTGTCATCTGGTTGGTGGGCGTTCCCACCTCTCTGCAGATGCTCCCGAGGGATTCTCCCAGTGCTGATTGTCACCACAATTCATTCTGTTGTTTTTGTTTTTGAATCCAAGGAGCGCAAGTTTCCCAAGTTTGTGTCCAAAGAAATGGAAAACATGTACATCGAGGAGCTGAAGTCATCTGTCAATCTCCTGATGGCCAACTTAGAGAGCATGCCTGTGTCTAAAGGAGGCTCCGAGTTCAAGCTGCAGAAGCTGAAGCGTAGTCACAACACCTCGATAATTGACATGGGAGAAGAAAATGAAAACCAGCTGTCCAAGTCAGACGTTGTGTTGTCGTTCTCCCTGGAGGTGAGCTTCACACTGTGTTCTAGCAGGCAGCCTGCAAAACTGGTGGAACAGAAATTTTAGCAGCCAACTTCTGTAGAATTCAGGCTTAACAGTTAGGTGGAGACAGATCAGTAGGAGTCATTTTCTGATCTCCATGAGGAGCAGTTCCTCTCTGAGTTACCAGAAGTTTTGCCTGTAGTCAGATACTGTCCTTCTGGCTTCTGATTATCTTGCTGGAAAAAACTGTAAAAGATAAACCTGCTGTAAAAGAAATTTCCTGCTGATGCCTATCTGCTGGCTCAGACGTCTGCCTGTTTGTCTGACTTCATAAGGCTTGTTTCTGACTGCACAGCATTAACCCCAACCAAAGCCCATCTCCCTGTATTGTTTCTAAAACCACTGCAATAAATGCAAGGATTGATTGGGCCTCTGTTTTGTGCTACCCCTGATATGTGCACAGTAGCTTGGCTACTGACGTTTGTCTTCTGCAGCACTAAGGGAACAAAACCAGAACTTCAGGCTGACAACTCTGCCTGCATAATGCTACAGGGGTTCCTTGTTGGCAGTTCTAGTTCCCAGTGTACTGAAACACACTGTAAATGTCAGTGTTTGATTATTGCCAGTTAGAGGTGCCACTTTATTTCTCTGCAAGCTTTGCTTCCTCTTCGGAAAATCATTAAAAATTGCTGAGATTTGGATGAACCCAACAGATTGTGTGGAAATACTGTGGTTTGCTGGCTTGCCATTTGCTTTGTGTTGAACTCTGAGTTTCTGCTGTGCGTTGAGCTGTTGGTGTGTACAGCCCAGGGGATGGCAGAGTGCTGTAGGGACACGGTTTCCTCTGAAATAGGCTGTCTCTGTCCTGAAAAAGTGATGCTATAGTGCTGTTTCCAGCTGAGTTAATTGTTCTGTGCAAACATATCTGTGGTCTAGGTGAGGCATTTACTCCATGGAATTATCAGCATCTCAGAGCACCAATACAGAGATGTTGATTGTCAGTGGATTTATGTTATGTTGTCAAAACAAGCACCGGGATGGAGTCGAAAACATAGGATGCAGAAAAATAAGAAAATCCTGTTTTTGTGTAGTTTCCTGTTTATTTTTCTCCCTAAGGAGTCTCTTGCTCGATACACTGTGCCAGTGCAAAATGTACAGTGCTGGTTGTCAAGTCTCAGAGTTTAACTCATTAGAGGGCTGAAGTCATCTCTATAATATTCAGTTCAGTCTTTCTTAAAATAGGGCTGCGAACCCAGAGACAGTGCCTTCAGTGGCAGCATCAAATAAAGCCTGACTTCTGAGTGTTACTGTACAGAGGAGCAGAGAACTATCACAAAGCCCTGGACCTCTCTGTCGGAAAAGCCTGTGTAACGTGTATAGCTGTGAAAAGACTCATCCTTACAGTGGGATGTCGAAAATGCTTTGCTCCAGCTGAACCCTTCCAGTGGGAAGCAACAGCTGAGTGAAGCAGTGACTTCAGGAGGTGGCAGGTCTGTTCACTGCTCTGTACACTGAACTCTTGCTCATCAGAGGGGAGCCAAGGCAGGCCTGCCAATCTCCTCGCAGCTCTCCCTCGTGCCCCTGCTCACCCAGCAGCACAGGGAGGACCCCAACTCTGCCTGAACCATGGGAGCCATGGCAGCCACAGTGAGGTCTGAGGGAAGATTCCCCTCTCACACCACCTTCCTTTGCCTGCAGGTTGTCATCATGGAGGTGCAGGGTCTGAAGTCATTGGCCCCCAACCGCATCGTGTACTGCACCATGGAAGTGGAAGGTGGTGAGAAACTGCAGACTGACCAGGCTGAAGCATCAAAGCCAACGTGAGTCTTGCTTTTCATTTCACTTATGCAGAGCATCACTCTGCAACTAAGAATGGCACATAAGCCCTGCCTGACTTATGTCTCCTTGTAGCATGTAACTTTGTGCCTGTACGTAAATACTTTGCTAAATAGGGATGGAGTTAAGCAGGTTCTTAAATAAGTACTTGCCTGAGTGTCCATCTGAACTGGTGCCATCAGGTGTAGGTACATAATCTTATCCTCACTGGCAGGGCTTTGGCAATCCTGTGAGGAAGGGAAACAGCAGCCACTGCTGGAGGTGGGACAGAAGAGTAGGGGAAGGCTTCAATTTGCTTGGTTAAAGTTGTGTCTGAGGCCACAGTGCCCAGGTTAAGTTCAAGGGCAAAGTTTTGTTCTGCCCTCTTCTACCCAAACCCTGCAACCCCCATCTCAGCCCTGTGCTTTGCTTTTCCTGTTTCCTCCAGATGTTGTATTAGCCTGCAAGTAGTAATTAATCATTGTTAATTTGGAAGAAGAAAACAACGAATGGTTTATTTCCTTTCTGATCTGTTATATTTGTGACTTGAAACACAGTTCATGTGGCTTTGAGACTGTTTTCTTTATGTTCACCACAGAGATTTCACTCTTTAATGACATTTTGAGCGCACATCCTCTTATAATTTCTAAGTTGAAATAAAGCTCTTCCAGAGATGCTAGGTAGTGCAGGAGGGGCTGCCATTGGAATGTTCCCTCTCTGATCCCATATCCTATTCCTATGATGGACTAATCCCCAGTGACATTTCACCAGGAGCTTTCAAAGCTCATGGAAGGAAGGAAGCTTGGAACCATCTGAAACCATGTAGTTGCATCACATGCAAATGCACGAACACTGCAGGCAGATGGTTCAAGGGAGGTGGTCTCATGGAGGTGTCAGCTAACATCTTCCATCAGCTGCCATCCTCCTGCTGAGGCACAGAAAAGGCTGATGCTTTGGACCCTGCGCTGTACCAGAAGAATAGGAATCTGCAGTAAGTGATTTAAACACAATATTCCCAATCAGGGGAAGTGCTGCAGCCTGGCTTACTTTTCGAAACGCATTAAAATCTGCTTCAGAGAAGGAAGTAGGAGAACTGTATATGGAAGAAAATCTCCATAAGAACCTGCAGTTGTCACTATTTTAGGTTTTCTTGCTGCTTCAGTGAGGAAACTTGAGCTCTATTTGGAGGAAATTACTGTTGCCCATATTAAAAAGCAGACTTGCTGGTTTACATGTACTTTCTTATCTTGGTCTTTTCATTCCACTGTTGCTCTAAGAATCTGTCCTTCCTTATACAAGCCTTCTTGCTGTCAGCATTTATACAAGTGTTGTTTTGGAAATAAGGGATGCAGGAGTGAGCTCTTTAATTGAATGGGTCTTTTTATCGTAATGAAATGTACAGTGTCTGGGCAGAAAGCCATCAGCCCTCAGGAACATGCAGCCAACACTGAATGCTACGGCACGGTACGGGTTATGTAAGTCCATCACCCTCATCTCTGTGCTGACTTCCTACAGAGGTGCAAGTCAGGCTCGAAGTATTATGCGTTGCTCCATCACTTGGGCAAATATATATGAAAAAACCTAGGGGCTTGGCAGTTGCATTCGTTGAAGGCCCTGGGACTTTCATCCAAAACCAAAAGCCACCCAAGCCAAGACTCTACAGTAACATTGCACAGAAACCAGAGACTGTTGCAGAAAATGTTGCCTTTTTCCTCCTGTGTGTTAGAAGTACGTTGTTCACCTTGCTTCCTTAGGCAGGGGACACTGAAGCTGAGTGAAAGCAGTTTACTGTACTTACTTTCTCCTCTTTAGACAAGAAGAAAAGAGAGAATGAACCAGATGTGACGTGTTTGTCATTTTGCTTAATACATGACTTGAATACCCTCAGGTATTCCGGTGATGCACGCAGTGATAGGAACTGCTCAGAAAAGTCCTTGGCTGTATTGCAGACAAAAGATCTGTGCTGAGCCAAGATAGACTTCTGAAGCGTCCCTTGGATGCCAGCATCACTTTCACGGAGGTCATTCACACCACATCTGCTCATGTACATTTTGTCATAAGAAAAACATTCATTGGTGAAGAAACTAGATCAGGCAAAGCATGCTGAGCTACCCCATGGAGCCCCATTGTGTTCCCCAGATCTGAAGTTTTTGTGTGTTTTTGCACTGGATGCTGCATGGCCTGGATGCTGTGCGGCAACTTTGGGGGACATTGAGCATCACTGCTACAGAAGTGTGAGTATTAAAGCAGGGGAGTTTACCCCTGCATATCCCAAATCATCTGTATGTCAGAGGCTCAAAAAATAGGAATGCAGCTTAAGTATCTGTGGGCAGATTAACACTGAAAAGAGTTCTGAAAAGAGGTGGTGTTCTCTCAGATTAAATTGTGATTCTTTCAACTGTGAGCAGTTTTTGAGAATCAGATGTTCAGAAGCATCTTAGTGACTCTGGAGCCTGAATCCCGTTAATGGAGCCTGGAAGAGGCGGGGTGAGCAGTGGGGTGTATCAAACAGTCAGCTTGGTTGTGTACGAGGGGTTTGGCTCTCAGGATGGCAGTAAATACTTGTCCTTTTTTCTTCTTAGGCTTCATGTTGGATTCCTGACATTTGAAGCACAATCTCCTCATGGAAGGATTATCTGTCTCAGCATGAGTACTGAGGATGGCACAGTTCTAGAGAAAGGCAGACCTGAAATAGCAAGGGTTATTTCAGATCAGGCTTGCAGTGTATTATTAGTAGTGCTTTTAATAAGTTGTGTAAGAAAAAGCTTTTGTGTTGTGCCCTAACCCACAAATGCCTCTACATAATATCCTAAATCCCAGTCCAGGCAGGATTTTATTGCTTTTTGCACTGGAACAGTATTCTTGCAGGCCCTAGAGGGTTTTATTTCCCTGACAGTTATCTCGATATCTGCTCTCTGCAAAACTCAGAGGGTGAAGTGGCTTCTGCACATCTCCAGCAGTGCCCTGCCAGGAGCTGCTTTTCTGATGTGGCTGTTTGTATGGCTGGAGAACAAGGTGGCCAGTGAGTCTGGGAACAGCACAAAAGGTCCAGTGACAGCACCTCTGTTCTACAGTCTGCAAAAAGGCTGTGGGGTATATATGAATGTTTACCTATGCCTGTAGCAGTGCTCATGGGCTGTACCAGTGATTCACCTCCTCATAACCCTGCAATTCTTGGATGTGAGCAGAACAAAAGAAAGGAAGGAGACCTAAACAAGGTCCTTCATGCCTTGTCAGTAAATGCTGTATATCCATCTGGACGTACTTCAGCATGGAAATGAGTCTCATTCTCCCCTTGTTTACAGTAGTGAAAATCACTTGTGCCTGCACTGAGCTCAGATGAACTATCTGGGTTAAAAGCAGTAAGCAGCTGACTGGGGGAGAATGTACATGGGGTAGTACTGGAGTGAAGACACTAGACTCTCACCTTAGTCCACATCAGGTCTTATGTTGCTTATTGCAGTCAAGGGCTTGAGCCTCATGCTCCCTCTAGAAACACTCTCAATTGAGAAATGTCTTCGGTAAACTTTTACACTTCTCAGTCTCTGCCCCCTTCCATTCCCTTAGACGTTGTGCCAGGAGACAGATGCCCTGCTTTATCCTTGTCATTGCTCCCGATGCTGCTCCGATTGACTTTCAGGGTGTTCAGATGGGTATGTTGTTTAGCTCTGCCCTGACAGGCTGCCCATGTTTGGGTCCTCACACCAAACCCTCTCTGCAAGCTTATCACCTGATGAATGTCTTAGCTTCGAACTGATATGCAGTGTGCTACTGACCATGAGCCCAACAGGAGCTGCACCACATCCTCCCGCAGTGCCCTGTGAGGGTCTCCTTCTGGGAGATGGGCAGCAAATTGCAAAATCCTGCAGGAGGGCAGCTGCAGGGCTGGGATGTCCTCTCTCTTTGCAGCAGGGGAAAGTCTGCTCTTTTCATTTGGGAAACCCCTGCCTCAGACGCCGCGGTTTGAAGTGATGCTCAGTGGCTTTGCGTGGAGTAGGAGCGTGCTAAGAGCATTTTGTTGCACTCTGTGTTTTGTTGGCACAGCTAGCTGGGAGATGCTGCGAGCGTTCCCTGGGGTAAAATAGCAAAGGTCCTTTTGAGATGAGCTCACATGTATGAATTACAAATAAATACTCCATACACTGTAGTACAAATTTAACTCCGTTAAACTTACAAAGGGGTTTATATTAACATGAGCAAAAGCAGCATAGCCCCTAGTTCCCATTCTGTATCCCCAGCAGAACTGGTGGGTACAGTGGGTGCCTGTGGTGCCTTTCCAACGGATGCAGCTCATGATAAAAGGCAAAGTAATAGGAAATTTTAGGAATTTTTTTTTGCCCTCTTTGGATTTGCTTCAGCATAACGATAAGCTGCTGTAATTACCCAGACTGATTGGCTTCCTTTTCCTCTTGCACGGTTTTGATTCACAGCTGTGCAGATGTTTAGAGCTCTTTTTCCTCAGAAAACCTTTATGAGCTTTATGTTTGTATAGGAACAGGTGATGGAGCCCTGGGTACAGCTAATGTGAGACACCAACACCTCTGGGATACTAAGCTGGCCCCATGGGTGAGGCTCTGAGCAGTGTCCATCTTGGTCATTTTTTTGTTGTCATTCATTTTGTGGCAGCAGAGGAAAGTAATTCACACACCAGGCATTGTGCCCATAGAACATCTCTCTTCCGTGGCCATTACCCGCAAAGTGAACTCATATGTGGTCCTACTGCTCACCAGTACTATTGATAACTGTTACATTAGAAACGGTGTTGAAGAGTAATGAAATCTTGTTTCAATAGACTTGGCTCTTGTAGTTGTTCCTGTAGACTTGCCTGCGATATCAAGTAAATGCAAGCTCTGGCTGTATTTTTTCTGACCTTTGGAGTGTACGTAGCATTGCTCTTGCATGGATTTTTTGATGTCTAGTAAGGGTTGAGCTCATGCACCTTTCTTTCACTCTGTTTTCTAGCCAGCTGTCTCAATTCTTGAGTATTCCTGTGCATTTGGGAATT